CCCCGCCGAGGGCTGCGACCGCCGCTTCTCCCGCTCCGACGAGCTCACCCGGCACATCCGCATCCACACCGGCCACAAGCCCTTCCAGTGCCGTATCTGCATGCGGAACTTCAGCCGCAGCGACCACCTCACCACCCACATCCGCACGCACACCGGCGAGAAACCCTTCGCCTGCGACTTCTGTGGCAGAAAGTTCGCCCGCTCCGACGAAAGGAAGCGGCACACCAAGATTCACCTGCGCCAGAAGGAACGAAAAGGAGCCGCCGCCGCCGGCGGGTGCCCGCAACCCGGCGGCGGGAGCGGCACCGCCGCCCTGGCCCCCTGCGCGGCGCGGACGCGGACGCCCTGACGGCGCGGGACGCGCAGGACCCAGCGCGGAGCCGTCGCCGAGCGCGGCGGGCGCGGAGCGGAGCGGGGCCCGGCGGGGCGCGACGAGCACCTGGCGGCGCCGCGGGGCTCCCCCGGGCCGGGGCGGGCCGGAGCGGGCCGGAGCGGCGGGTGTACATAGGGGCTGCGGCGGGAGGATGGATGCATGCAGTGCCGTCGTGGTGAGGTGTCCTTGGTGCCTTGTGTGGTGTAGAGCCCGGTCCCCTGTCTGCATGTGGGGGGTGCCTTACCGATCCGCTCCGACGACAGCGGCGACATCGAGACCGGAAAGTTTTTCCCTCCCTGGTTTTAGTATGGCTGTACATTTCTGCCTATTAATATTGGGATTTTTTTTTTTTTTTAGAGACTATATTTTTGTACGCACTGGTTTGGGGTTTTGGTTTTGTTTTTCTTTTTGGTGACTTAAAAGTGTTCCGTTTGTAGTAGGACTTGGGACAGGATGTAAATACTCGGGCTGGGACCGGCGCCCGTGGTCGGCCGGGACCCAGTGCGCCGCAGGTAACACGAATAATGCACAACCACTAACGGGGGCTGGAAGGAGAGAGGGGGGTTATCTTTCTGGCCACTCTGTAAATAAATTTTTCGACAATAGGGTAGGTGCTTACAAAGTTTATAAAAGACGACAAATAAATCTCTTAATTATGTTAAATTGACATCTTTATTTCCGTAGGTTCCCTGGCCTGACCCAGGGAGCGGTTGTCCCCCGCTTGTTCCCGATCCACACCGGGTCCCGGCGGCAGAGGGCTGCGGGGCAGCCTGGCCCGGGTCCGGATGGGCGCACCGCACCGCCCCGCAAAGCCTCGGCGTGGAAAACCTGCAGCCTCGGCCCCAGCATACAAACACTCACTCGCTTTTGGGCACGGGAATTTCCCTCGGAGACGAGAGACGGGATAATATTAACCAGGGAGCGGGGTGGGTTTTCTTTGACTCATTCTGTTTTGTTCCGCGGTTACAATCCGCCCCAGGCAACCTCCGCGAGTGGGCTCCGGAACAGTGAGTACCGCCGCCCCGACGGCCGCCGCTCGGGGGAAGCGGCTCCCGGCGGCGCGGAGCTGCGCGGGCGGCGCCGCGCCCGCGCTCGGGGGCTCCGCAGCGGCCCGGGGCGGCGGCGCTCACTCCCGCGGCACAGCCGGACTGTTTTTGCTGAATCCACATGGCCGCAATATCGTGCCTTTTATTTTTATTTTATTTTTTTTTTTTGTAATCTTATTTTGGTTAATGTTTTTTTAAATGCTATTCCGGCCTCGGCCCACCCTCGGGTCCTGCCATCGGTGCAGGGCCGTAAGCGCCCCGCGGGCTTGCCCCTCTGCCACACAGATCCCTGGTGCGGCCCGCACTGCAGAAGTGAGCTGTGCAGGATGGATACCACTAATGCCATAGACCAGCACAGCGGGGCGAAGGGGTTAAGCCCTTTCTCGGTGGTTCCCAGCCTCTGCTTGCCCAGGTGTTAGGTCCCATAGTGCAAAGCCCCGGCAGCACCTGCCTCTTCTGTCTGATAGAAATCCCTGCTCCCCATCTTCTCGAACTCATGCCGGCTTTTGGGGTAGCTGCTGTTCAGTGGGAACTGAAGTGACATGTCTGGTTCTGAATCAAGACAGCTTCTACAGTTGGGCATGGACCAGCCTGTGCAGGAGAAGCCGTGCTCGCTGCCCTGCCATCCTACCTTAGCAGCACAAGTAAACCTTGACACCCTGCTTTGCAGTTTTGCCACCTGATCCCACATGATCCTGGTCCCCAAGAGACCACAGCCTGCAGCTGGAGGGATGTCATAGAGAAACTGCAGCCTCCTCAACTGCTGGGCTTCTGCAGGTACCACCACAGCTTTGGATAATCACAACTCGATCATAGCCAGAGCATCTTGAACAAAATTGGTATCTCAGCTACCCAGACATGCAATTCAAGGCTCCTGCACTCTCCAAACTACTGTCTCCAGCCATACTACAAAATTAAAACCCAAATCAAAATCAAAAATGATCTAAACACCACCAAAATTGTAGAAGAGGTGAACTAAGGAAACTCCTAGTTAGCATCCAGCTACAAGAGCACCTCACATGGTACAGTATCAATGGTCCTGCACTCCTGTCTGCACCTTACATTGAGAGCCAGCTTCAAAAGCAGCAATAGTTTATGTGCCTGGATTTGCCTGCAGGATCTGGGCTAAGAATCCAGTGTAAGCATTGCCTCCCAAGGAAAAGCTGGTCACACTGTTCAGACTGACAGGCAAAACAACTAGAGCTCTGTACCGTACTTGGCTCAAGGCTGTCACACTTGTAAAGGAAAGTAATGACTGGTCACTGGTGAGATATCCTGTATTTATTCTACATTTCAGTAATAACAGTTATTTTGCTGTTGTGAAAACACAATAACCAAACTTCAGAGAGAAGGAATGACATTACAGATTTAAACCTTCCGCGTAGATATCCAAAACATGGGAAGTTTCAATTAGTGAGTAAGCAAGAAGTTACACAGAGACTTTTTTAAAAAATGCTAATCTTAGGTTTTCTTTGCTATTTTTCCAGCTTTAAATGCTTCTGATATTAAAGTTTTTTTTTTTACCTTAAGTAAAAAAAAAGGGAAAAAAAAAGGTTTTGCCATGGTTAACAACACTCCACAGTGTGACCATGCTGTCCTCTTCAGAAAGATGCATTAAATACTGTCCCACAGAACATCTTGACTAGGTTTTACACGTGAAGGAAAAAAAAATAAAAACTCAGCAGAAAGACCTAAGGGGAGGATAGAGCAGATAGGATTAAAAATGCTCACTGTCGCAGTTTGTTTTTCCAGTACAGCTGTTTGCACGCACCGTGCTATCTTCTTTGTGGACTTCTGAAAAAGGGTAACTGTCTTCATTAGGCTTGGAGAGAGGTAGAAACAGGCTGTAACACAGGGAGGCATTGCCTTATAATTAATGACTACATTCGATCAAGAATTGTTAAACATTAACTAATGCTAAGCTGCAGGGGAATTCCAAGAAAAACAGGTAAGCCAGCTGCAGAAATATCAGACACCTTTAAGTGCTCAAAGAATAAATGGAAATCACCTGAAATAATTTCTACCAATTTTTCCTTGCAAAAGAAGTAATGCATGCATGCATAATGCTGGCTGTATATTACATTCATTCTTTCGCAGGCCAGGAAAAAAAAAAAAAAGGCAGCAATGCCGTATCAGAATCATTTAAAAATTCACACATACAAGCCACTGTACAGGAAAAACAAGTCTGCTTTTATAAATACACAGAAAAGTAAAGCCAGTTGTGAAATGATATCTGGATCAGGCTGGTACATCACTTAGGAGGTTGCTAAGTTGTGTTTTCTTACTCAAATTCTCACATCACAGCTAAGATGGCCAAGGCTGCCCTGGCCTGGGTTTGTGGTACGAAGTGTGCGTTAGGACGAACAGGCACAAGACCAGCCCCTCCAGCACAAATGGGGCACTTCCCCTGTAGAAAAACTTTCTCCCATGTTAGAAAGATTGCATCCCCTGCTGTGGACAAACTGCATCTCCAGGGCGCTTCCATCATAGCAAGGTGAAATTCATGGTGTCTCTTCTACTCTACGTTTATTTAAAAGCCTTATGAAAAAGTAGTCTTTATAAATAGTATAAAGAGGGAAATTGCAAGGCTTCAAAAGCCCAAAGCGTTCGCATATAAAAACACAGACCATGCTTTAAAAGAGAAGACATCAGGTCAAATCTTATCAGTACCTAGGGTATGTGCTGCTGTATACTGAGGGTTTGCAAATATGCCGTGTTTCTAGAATAGCTTCCACAACAGTGGATAGTTGTTTCTTGTTTCTGCCACCTTCTGCCACTGCTGTGTTAAGAGGTTCCAAGCGAGGTTAATCAGCAGCTGTCTCCTTCTTGCTGAAGGAAATATGCATAGATGCACTCAGTAATTCTCAGTTGCAATTCTCAGTTGGGATCTTGTATATGACACTTTAAAGAACTGTTGAAAAGTAACTCTGAACCTGACAGTGTCCATTTGGAGCAGTAATTTCCTTAACTCCAGCCCTGGGGATTGATCACTGGCATTTACTGAAGAAGCATGTCCTAGCTCAGGAGTTGTTGTGGACTTGTTTTTTTAACAGCAGGGTACAACTCTTTTTGAGAATCACTCTGGAGACATTCCCCAACGGCTGCAGCCAGATCAACCCCCCTTCCCAAACTCAGTGGGTGAAGTTCCCTGGTCCCTGTGCTGCCAGCTGGCTCTGGCAGTGGGAGCCCCACTAGGAAAAGCCGGGGGCGCCTGTGACAATTCTTATTGCATTTACTCTCACTTTGGAGCCTGAACCCCCCTCCCTGATGCGTGGCCCTAACTATTTACACAGGATGCTGGAATATTTCCCCGACCCTTCAGCTGAGCAGCTTAATCACGCTGTTCCCGCACATCGGCCCCAAGGGCATAAACACGGTCTGGCGCTTTATTTCCCCGACTCACGAAGCCCGCGATCAGAGGAAGGCTCTGACCCACGGCGCTCCCGCGAAGCTCCAGCCCGCAGGGGACACCGCGTCCCCGCGGTGCCGCTGTCCGGCGGGGGGCGGCGGGTTCCCCCTCGGCGGGCCGGGCGCTCACCGTCCCTGGCGGCCGCCGCCCGGCACGGGCCGCCGGCGGCGCCTCAGAGGCAGACGCGGGGCCCAGGGTAGGGCTCGCCCCCGCACCAGAAGTCGGCGGCCTGCGGGGTCTCCACCAGCCACACCTCCCGCGGCAGCGCAGGCGGCTCCGCGCCCGCCGGCGGCCCCTCCAGCAGCCGGTAGTAGTGGCAGTCCCGGCCGTGCTGGGGGTCGTAGGGCGGCGCCAGGATGTCGAGAAAGGCGGCAGGCCCGTCCACGGCGTCGATCTGGTGGAGGTTGTCGGTGTGCGGCGAGAGCAGGCAGGGCGGCGAGGCGGGCGTGTAGTGCTGGCGGGAGCGGAAAAGGGCGCGCAGGCACGGCCCGCCGCCAGCGGCGGGGGGCGGCGGGGCGGCGGCCGCCCCGGAGGGCAGCGTGTCCATGCAGGCGATGCGCAGCGTGCCGTACAGCACCTTCAGCATGCCGTTCATGCCCGGGTGGTCGTGCAGCGGGATGCAGGCGCCGCTCCGCAGCAGGAACACGCCCATGCTGAAGCTCTCCGTCTCGCAGATGTGCATGTAGCTGACGGGAGGCACCACGCCGGCCCAAGGCGGACCGTCGCCCGCCGCCGCGGCCGACGGCCCCCGCGGCACCAAGTGCAAGTCCTCGGCGCGCACCTCGTCCAGCAGCTGCTGCAGGCGGTGCAGGTTCTCCCCGAAGGCTGGGCCCGGCGGGCTGCGGAAGGTGATGCGCGCCTGCCGCGCCACCCGCTGGATCAGGGAGGCCATGTTGTCCCGGGGCATGGCGGAACGGCCCGGCCCGGCCGCGCGGGCGGGGCCCGGCGCCGCTTCCGCCACCGCCCCCCGGCCCGCCGCGCAGCCGCGCCGCCGCCGGGCACCACGGGGCTCGTAGTCCGGGCTGGGGCCCCGCCGGGGAGCGCGGAGGAAGGAGGGCAGCAGAGGTGAGGGGGCGCGGGGGCCGCGGGGCCTGCCGGCTGTCAGAGCTCGTGGCGGCTGCCATGAGCGCTGAGGGGAGACGGGCGTGAGGGGAGAGGGCGGCGGGAGCGGCCGCTGCCCCGGGGCTGAGGGGTCCCGCGCCCCGAGGCTCTGGCTCGGCTGTCCGAGGGGCTGCGCTGCGCCGGGGAAGCCTTGGCAGTAAATTGCCCATGGCACGTGTTTCCTCCCCGCTGGGGGGCTGGGGGAACGCAGGAGCAACTTGTTACTTGGCTTGTAGTTAAGCCGTGTAAAACTGAGCAGCGCGTAGTGCAAGTGCGGTGTCATGGGCGTATAGCAGCTGCCCACAGACAGTTCATCTTTTATCACTAACTGCTCGACCCTAACCACGCCATTTCGGCGCAAACTTATCAGATTTGCGTTTTGTGGTACTCGTATTTCGGTATTGGGTCGAGGGCGTGCTGTACAGCATGTACTGTCCTTCATGCATCTCCTTACGGTCGCGTTTGAGTGTGCTTGTGTCTGAATTCGTTATCTTTAACCACAGGTGAACACCGACGTGCACACAGAGTTCCAGATGCCGATCCTCAGAGAATCCATGTGTAACAGAAAGGATGGATAATCTTTTGGCTCAGCTCCAGCCTGGTGGAGCCTGCATGTGGTTGTTTCGGGCTAATGTACAAAAAGGGTCATGCATTTTTTCTGCCAGGTTTTTATTTAATTTATGTATTTGTGGCAGCAGTCCTATTGCCTTCTTTCTAATTGGCATGGCTGTATGTAGCAGATCATATCTAAAAATCCTTTCATTTGAAGTCAGAGGTTAACCTGTTAGTGCTGAGATTTTTTAAACAAGGTTAGGCTCTGGTCACAGAAATATACAGACTCATTCCACCTTGAGTTCAATTACTTGCATGGATGTACAGCATTTAAGTACCATGGTAGGTCTAGGTTCTGAGAAACAGCTGAATGATATTACATAATCAAATATGACTCCAGGGGCTGCAGCCTGCCAGGTTTAAAATTGCATTTTAAAACCGGGTAAACCAATGAATTTTCTTGATTAAAGGCAAACTCTAGTTGTAAGATATGCATTAAGCTTAAGTAAGATACACATGGCGTTAAAATGTTCTTACACCTTATCACAGAATGGTTTGTGTTGGAAGGGACCTTCAAAATCATCTGATTCTTGGAACATAGTGCCATGGGCAAGGATGCCACCTGCTAGATCAGGTTGCTCAGGACCCCCTTAAACCTGGCTTTGAACAGTGCTAGGGATGGGGGGGCATCCACAGGATCTCTGGGCAACCAGTTGAAGTGTCTCACCACCCTCACGTGAATGATAAATACTCTACATCAATCAGAAATACAAGTGTTGTGACATGTGATGGCCCAGTAGAGGATGAAGTACTGATGCTGTAGACAAAGATGTGTCTTGGATATTTTTTCCCAAAACTATTTCCTGCCCTCTGTAAATAAATTTGGTGCACAGAATGCAAATTCAGGTCATGGCATAGTTGCATCTCTCTCCACAGAGAAGGATGTTCATTTGACTTGCTGCTTTCAAGTTCCACCTGAAGCTACAAAGGACTGCACTCTTCAGCTGTTTGTTAAGTGCTAAGTGATTTTGTTAAGTCTGCCCGTGCCAGTGTTGGGAGCACAGGGTGAAGATCGGGTGTGTATTTCTGCACCTGGCAGGAACAGGTCTGTGTGGCAGGATGCTTAGGATGAGGGGGCATTATCCCAAGTGGAGAGGGAGAGTCTTTAAAGGTCTGTGAGCCTTCCTGCATGGGAATGAACTGCTGAGGATGCTCTCATTACTGTTGCATTGGTGGCAGCTGGCATTTTGTCAGAAGCAGAAGCTTCATGTCCAGTGTGCTCTTCTATTCAGCCCCCTTCACAGGGGCAGTCAATTTAATTATGAAGATGTGCACTGGAATTTTTGGCAGTACCATTATCAGTGGTAATGATAGATTCTTTATTGGCCACCTATTTGTGTCCTGCCCCAATGATTGCACTTTGCTTGCAAGTGGGGGCTAGTATACTCCCTTTTGGACACACTGGTTCTTTTTCTATGCAGCACAAAAATCAGATCTGTTGTGGAAACAAATGCTTGGTATTTGTTGTACATTGTGCGCTTGGAGTAACTTGCAGTTGAAGGAAAGATCATCATGGAAAAGCAGGACCCTGAGTCTGAATTCAGCTTGCTCTTGCCTTGCCGAGTGGTATTAGGTGAGTTACTTGACCCTTTCACCACTTATTACTCTGTAAACCATGAATCATAAGTTCAAGGATGTTTATTAAGAATTCAAGGATGTTTATTAAGAATTTAAGAACATCTTTACATGGACAGTCCTGGTGTCTTATTAAACTAGTGATGAGGTTTATATTTGTGTAATTGATTGCCTTATAAGCACCAATGTTTTTAACTGCTGTATTGGTTGCCATTTCTAACGGATACAGACAAAAATATATTAATATTCCAGTTAAAGCCTATATCACACCCACATTTTTTCAGTGCAGTAATATTCAAATAAACCCACAAATCAACCTCAACAGAAAAGCAAACTGTCCAGCTAACTGGCAGTTAAATTGACATGTTTTTCCTTCTGAAAGGCCATATTCTTAGCTGGCCTCTACTATATTGAACATATGTGAGAAGAACAATCATGGTGTAGTTGCTTGGCTCGGCTTTGGGACTAAATTGTGTTGGTCATGCAATGACCAAAGTTCAGCTCGGATGTTTTGTGATAAAGCCAGTGAGTGGGAGGTCAGGTTTGGGTTATGGTTTTGGCCTCCTCCTGTGATTGTTTTGTTTCTCCACACACTGAAGGAGAATGAGAAGTGTCACAGCTTTTTTCTCCTGCCCAACCCCACTATTTTCAGTCTCCTCCCCTTCCTACCTGGACTCCAAACTGTGAACAATTTCTTGCTTCTTTTTTTTGCTATTACATATTACAGCTCCCTTCAAGTTTGTGAAAAGCCCTTGTTAATTCTTGCTTTCTTTTAGGGGTTGCTCCCCATATCCTCCCAATTTCTTTTGAGAAGTTAGAAGTCCCTATAACCATTGGATAAAACCATCTGTAGTGGATGAAAATGTCAGCTCCTCGTGTAGAAAGTCAGTGGTTACCTGTTGCTAAATGTTGTGTCACAACGCCAGAATGATTTAAAGAGTCAGAGTTTGGACAGGCAGTACATAGGACAAAACCCAAGAATCTCTGTCAAAGAGCATATTTTTTGCAATATTCCTGCCACTGGATCTTTAAAGGTGTGTTTTGTTTTGTTGTTTGGTTTTAATAGCTGCCACTAATTGAGGAGCTAGATAGGAATGCTAGCCAAACGTGACTCAGATGAGAACAGGACTAAAAAGAGAGAAGACAAACAACATGTCTGTAATATTTGCTGGCTCTCCAGTAAAGGCTTACATAAAAGAAAGTTGGTTATCAATTATTCATCAGAGAATTTATATATCAGTAGAAACACAGGGGAGTGCTAGATATAACTGCACTGAAATCAAAAGGGGAATTAAGTTCATATATATACCAAACATCAAGCAGATCTATGCAACATTAAGGCTTCCACCCACCTTTACCACTTCTTTACTGAGATGCATCCTGCATTCCATTTACTGCTGGAGAGAGTCCAGAGGAGGCCAAGATGATTAGAGGGACAGAGCAACTCTCCTGCAAGGAAAGGCTGTGAGAATTGGGTTTGTTCAGCCTGGACAATGGATGGCTTAGGGATGACCTAATTGTGGCCTTCCAGTACCTGAAGAGAGGCTTACAAGAGGATGGAGATGGACTTTTCACTGAGGCATGTAGTGAGAGGACAGGGGGTAATGGATTCAGTTTGAAAGAGAGCAGATTTAGAGTAGGTATTATGAAAAACATGCTTACTGTGGGTGTGTTGAGGCACTGCACAGGTTGCCCTGGGAGGTTGCCCTGAGTAGCTGCCCCATCCCTGGTGGTGTTCAAGGCCAGGCTGAACTGGGCTTTGAACATCCTCGTGTAGTGCAAGGTGTCTCTGCCCATGGCAGGGGAGTTAGAACTAGATGTAGATGATCTTTAAGGTCAGTCTCTACCCAGGCTGTTCTATGGTTCTGTGAACCACATAATTCACCCCCTGCTGACTCTTCATGTGTTGTAGCTCCTCAGTTAAATGCACTGTTTCTATGTAAAGCACATCATTAATGGGTTTTATTGACAGTTTGCAACGGAACAGCCTAGAGCACGAGTTGGAGTGACTCAGAGTAGGAAAGGCTGTGTGGCATGCAACTCCCTGTGCATGAATTTGCAGGAATAATGAGCCTTATTCTGATCATCTGAGTTCAGCTCTATTGACTTTGTGCTTTCCACTGCTGCAAATCAGCTCTGTGCTGGTGTCTCTGGTGCTGCCCAGGTTAGCCTGTGGTGGTGGGTGCTGTGAGTTAGCCATGGCCAAACTCCTTCTGAACTTGCTGTCTGTGTAGGGCCGACCCTGGGTGTGAGGAGGGAAGCTGCTCCCTTGCAGGGAAAGCCCTGTGTGTCTGTGCATGTCTGCTCACTCATTATCACTGACCTCAGTGCCATATTTACTTTTACCTGCTGTGTGATAGGTGCAGTAAAAGAGCACTTTTGTCCTAGCTAGGGTGTGATTCCACTCTCTCAGAGCCCGAGAATTGGCAGTAGGTAGCAGTAGGTTGGTCACTAACTCTGGGACCCCAGAGGGTGCGAGCTGTGGGACTGCCACTGCTTGTGCTATGCTAAGTAGTGGTCACACACCAACTCTGGAACAGCCTTGCTAGCAAGGTCTAAAGTAATCTGTTTCAGTAGCTTAAAGAGTTACTGCTGTGCCACTGAGTCACACTTGCTCACTCATAGCCTTCCCTCACTGCCAAA